TGGGGTGTCCACCTCCACTGCCTTTAGACGTTTACGAGGAATGAACACTTCATTCTTCACGATATTGTGGAACAATTTATACTCATCTTCGCAAAGGAATGGTAGCCTTCCGAAAATCATTCCGTATAGCGTAACACCTAGCGACCAAACATCGATTGCGCCCGTGATTTTCGGAACGTTGCCAATTTGGTCCTCAAATTCCGACCCTGTATAGCAGAGTTCCGGTGCATAAAAAGCTGGCGTTCCAACAGTTTTGGAGAGTTCCCGGGCGTCATCGAGTTCGGTGGCATCTGTCTCCGCAACTCGCTCCTCATCACCATCCCGGATAGGTCGTCCTAGGTAGGATACACCAAAGTCGGATATTTTCACCCGGCGATCTCCTGTGACTAGTAGATTTGCTGGTTTAATGTCTCGATGTATGATACCTTGGTAGTGAAGATACTCCAGTCCGAGCACAGAATCTCTAAATGCACATCGGGCCTGGGATAGTGTCAAGCATGGGACATACATCTCATCGTCGTCGGACAGAAGTTCCGGCTCTGAAGAATGAGAGGTAAAAAGGCTTGAGACTGTACTCTGACGTCGTTCAAGTTGAGTCTCAGCCGCATATGCACCATACATGCTTCCTTCTACGGCCGCCAGAACCGTATCACGTAACCTACTATCCAGCTCATTCGCAGAGGCGAAAGATTTGCTGGTTAGTTCGGGCGTGCTGGAGCCGTCATGAATGTGAGGCGGGATCTCAGGACCCATTTCGTCGTCCGATACTCCACCGTGTTCCAAACTCCACGCAGGAACACCCGAGAACTGTGGCGCAATTGACTTTCGCTTCTTACGGGAAATTTCTTTCTGTCGCCTTAACTGGTATTGCCTCTGAATCTCCTCCATGAGAAAGGGGGAGTCCGTAATTCCTTGCTTTTCGTGATCGAGCCTGAATTTATCCGTGGCCACAATATCCCGAAGGCCCTTTTTGCGCCAGACGATCTCGCCATTCTCCACATACTCTAACACAATATAAACCTTCTGCTGGTTTGGGTCGTCAATCACCTCAAGCAGACTGACAACATTCTCATGTCTGGCTTTCTTGAGAATGGCAACCTCCTTCTTGACTTTATCTTCAGGATTGCCCAGTTTACCTAACCGACGACGTTTCGAATACCTTTGGACGATTTTAATTGCTACTTTCTTTCCAGTCCTCATATGGCGGCCAAGTTTTACCTTCCCGTGCTCGCCTCGTCCCAGTTCATCGAGGATTTCGTACTCGTTAATTAGCTTGTTGCCGGTGAGCATGTCGCGATCAACCTCAACTGTGTGTGTTCTGCAAATCCATACATCAGAGATAAGCTCACTCCAGTACCGAGGGATCAAATAACAAAAAGATTTGTCACAGTAGAAGAACATTACAAAATTTCCAAGGTAGGACTCACTCTTTTGGCTCTTGAAGATGGGTGGGATGTAGGTAAGAAAACGAAGCACGGCCTTCTGCGATTTTCGGTGGAGATGGATGAGAGGAACGAGAGGAGAAAAGGCCAGGGCTCGATATCGGAGTGTTCCCAGTGGTGCGCGAGCCTAGTACGTGAGAGCCAGAATCTCGAGTAGCCCATGATGGACTCGAGGCAGATAAGGGGTAGGGCGATGGGTAGGAGCTGCGTGAGCGGAGATGCGGTTGAGGGCGAGTTGGGTGAACTTGTGACTGAAGAACAGCGTAAGATTGGTCCGGATAGACCGGTAGGTCATTGACTGAGTGCCCAGCGCGATGCGACGGAGTGGGATGTTCCGATAGAGGGCTTAGGGGAGGATTGGATGATTCAGGGACTTTTGGAGTCGTCAACTGTGGTGCTGGAGATGTTCCAACGTAAGGGCTCGAATAGTCCGTCGCAGGTTCCAGACCAGCATGGTCTGCTAAGGAGAGTAACGAGCTTGATGAAGTGTTGGTTGACGAGCTCCGGGATGCGTTCGAAGAGTGTGGGCGAAAAGGGAACACATGAAGCCTGTGGGCTAAACCACGACGTTCCTCTAGCCGGCCATCAGGCTGAGTGCCCCTCTGGCGGCTTATCCCACCAGGCATCTGTCTTGAGTTGGCGCCACCTGTGAGGGAGAATCTCCGCGACCTCGACGTCCTACCGGAGGTATCTGAAACTTCTTCACGTTCTAAGAGCGTAGAGCTATCGAGGGATTGATGTGACCCTCGTCGACCTCGGCCGTCCGAGTTATTCGATGAGCTGACAGGCGATTTCCCTAAACGGTCCATCTTACAAACTGCTTCTAGCTTTTGTTTGTCTACCGTGCCTTTTCGATGTTTCTTTATCTTGATTGAAAAGCACCTCGTATCCTCGCTATCGTCGTCGTTCAGGAGATGTGCAGGCGATCCGAGTCACTGTTACAGGAACGACCACGGAAAGAGAGGCATGATAAAAATCACCGTTCCTGTTGAGCGAACCAGCAGACGAGTGTTAAATCCTCATCCCTTATAATTTGGTTGCTCATCCGTAACGCGATCGGAGGTTTTTTTTTTTTTTTTGTTTTTTGTTTTTGATGTTCTTTTTTCGTTGCGAGGGGGTAGTAGGCCAGCTATCTAGCCCTGCAATCGAAGACCTGAAGGGGGATTCACTTGCACATTTAATAAAAGGCAGCGAGAACGAAGCAGGTTGACGGTTTGCTGGGCAGAGGTGGACTTGTGGAGGAAGGCGGAAAGTGGGGGCACGGAAATGAAATTCCTCAGCCCGGGAAGGTCAAAGTCGGCTAATAGAGAAGTTGTTAAAAAGAGACAATGTAAGTAGACAATGGGTGGGTAAGTGTTGCAGGAATGGTCGTTGATGGGACACAGACTCGCGGGCGACGAGCGAGGGAGGCAAAATAACCAAGATGGCGGGTGGGTTGTAGTGAAGCCAAAGGAACGTCGATCAATAAAAGCCGATAGGAAGGAGAGATTAGAAGACGAAGAAGGATTGAGAAATATATCCTGTTTGATAGCAAAAGGGAATGCTATTTAATTGCTGAGCTTCCGGGGAGGCAGAGGAAATGGGAGGGGGAGGGAGGTTTGATGGAGAGCAAAGACTTTGATTGATTGAAGGTTGATTGAGGTTTGATGGACGACGACGACGACGACTTGAGGATCTGGCGGGTCGGGCGATGTCTGGTTGGTCAGTATTCTGTACGCGTATCGGTCACGTAAACAATGGGACGGTATGGAGCGGTAAGGGTGGGTATGTAATAAGGGGTAATGTAATGTATGTAAAACCGTTGTATCTGTATCAAGTTTCTGGACTGCACTATTTTTTTGTCTTGCTGGATTGGATTGGCGATGGGAGCTACTTGGACTCATAGGATGATAGGAGGGGGGAATTCCATATTGCCCAGGCCCTAGGCCCGGTACTAGGCGAGGTCGAACTGACTACGGAGTAGCTTGCTGAAAAGGGCCGGTTCCTGCTGCAAGTCGTGGCTTTGACCCTTCACTAGTTTTACTGAGCCCTTGTGAGATGGGGCAAAGCAAGCCTTTCCCAAGGTAATGTACATGTACATTACATACGTTACATGTACTCTGTACGCAGCGTACAGTACGGAGCACATACCTCGGGAACAGATTGGAGCGGCGTTGCGGTTGAGCAACCCACAGACCCTCTTCGTACTGCTCTTACCGTACACTAGTAAGAGCCGCCCTGCTTAAGGCCTCAGCTCTCGGCTGGATTATTCGCCGCTTACATAACTATACAGTAGTTACATCATAACTAGTTAACTAGTTATGTAAAGAATATATTTTTTCTGTGGTTATAATCATGGTCACCACGGGCTAATAATCTTGTTAATCACTATTATTATTTGTCGGAAGCCAATATCCTCTCCAAGCTTAAACAACCCCGGGCCATGTTTACCAATTTTTTACTTTCTGGCTCTTGCAACATCCACTTCCTTCACGTATGAGTGAAAGACCACTGTTACAACAAAGCTTGTTTGGCCCGCCATTCTTTACAAGCGCACACGCGATGGCCCCCTGTCCAGCGCCGTCTTGTTGTCCCGGTTTCTGGTAGCTGTAAGACGGGCTGGGCACAGTCCAAGCAAGCACTGACCATGGTAACAGCGCGTGCTGAATTTGTTTTTCCTGGGCCCTGCCGACAGTGCCTGGGCTTTTCGAAAAAAGTTGGCAGCGATATGCGAGTGCTAACTGGGCTTGGGGGGGGGGGGGGGTTAATAGTCCGGCTCGTCCTTTTTTTGCTTCTCTCTTCCCGTGAAACACGAGGGTTCACTCGCAAAGAGAAACTGCAAAATGTGTGAACAATCGAGGTTGGGCATTTTGCACAGCAGGGGGCACTCCATGAAACAGGGCATCGCAGGCCTTTCTCTCTGAATGATGAAGCCAGGGGGAGAACGATGGTTCGATGAGTTGCGCAAAAATAAAGCCGCCTAGCAAGGGTCAGGGGTCAGGAAGGATGTTTTGCATAAATAATTGGGGTTGGCGCCGATATCTGTCTCTCAAAACCCCTGTCCGAGCGAAATTGGTAGTTTCTGCCGCGCTTTGCCCCGTCCACAAGGCAGGGGAGAGAAGATGTGAGTAATTACAGCCACCGTTCGGTTTTGCGATGCCTGGGTCATAAAAACAGATGCTGCCAATCATGGTGTGTACGCTGGTACCCAACGATGGGCCACCATAAGCGTACAAAAAGTTGCTAGACTTCTTGCTTCTTCTACTAACTATCTCTATCTCTCTACCGATTCGTTCGTTTTCCTTTTCAATTTTGAAGCCACCAGTCATTCCTTACGTTAATGTCGCAGAGGCGAACATCTTCCTTAACTACGGAGTACATTAATTACATATACTTGCAGCTTCCAGATGGTAGACAGACAGACGCAAAGCCGTCAGACCTTCAGGCTACTTACAACTCCTCCCTGAGTGAGTACATATTTTACCGCGCCTCGTGACGCGTAATGCACAAAACGCATAACCCCTCCTCTCTCTCTCTCTCTCTCAAAAAAAAAAAAAAAAAAAAAAAAAAAAAAAAAAAAGGCACTCTGTAGGGCACTGGGGTAAACGAGCTCAATCACCACTAGCATATACTTAAGAGGCTGAACCATTCCATTCAACACACTCGCTTTTTCAGCAGAATGATCCATGCTCCTCCTTAATCCTTTTCCACCTCCTTAGGCCATGCCATGCCTTCCCACCTTTTCATCCAGCCCCTTGACCAACACTGATATATTGAACCCAAGCCGACCCTCCGTGCTTAGAATAGTGATAAGGAGGAGAAGAGCCCCTAGCTGATCATTTGGACTTCCTAAAGAGTGATTTAGAGAATGAGGAGGAATCTTAGCCAGGAATCTGTTAAGGCTGGCTGTTGCAGCTAAAATTTTCGGGTGGCTGGGACCGAGTTTTTGGCGTCGAAGCTGAACACACTTTTGAAGAAGCTATAGGGACCTCTACATGTTGGCCCTGCTTCCTCAAAGTGCGTGAGAGATTCTGCATACCTTCCAGTGTGTTGGGATGATCAACTCCCAGCACCCTCTCTCTGATTGTCAGTGCCTGTCGATGCATGGCCTCAGCCACATCATATTTCCCTTGACTATAAAGCACCAAGCCCAGACTGTTGATGCTTGCCAGTGTTTTAAGGATGATTGACCCCCAGCACTTTCTTACCGATTGTCAGTGTCTGTCGATGCATCGCGTCAGCCTCATTGACCCTCCCTTGACGACAGTGAAACACCACACCAACAATATCCATAAAGTTGAGTGTCTTCTTGTTTTCTGGGCTGAGTGCTTTCAATGTCTCCATCGCCTGAACTCCCATTTCCACTGCCTCTATCAAGTTGCCTTGCGAAACGGCAAACTATTCTGCATGGCCCAGCAAAAGTGCCCACTCTCGTTTTGAATCTTCTGCGTCTGGCTGTTGTCATATTGCTACCTGTGCATGTGGGAAAAGCTATTGACACTTTTCCCAGTTCTCATGTCCTTCTGGGGGAAATTCCCTAGAGAGATTCCTAATGAACTGCTGCTTCCACTGTTTGAGCTGTCATGACAACCTTGAGCCATTTCTGCATGGTGAGCTGCACTAGCCTATGCATCTCAAAGCTCGCTCCAGCCGCATTGACAGAGATGAACAAGTGGTTCCTTAATGCAATGATATCATCCTCAACGTATTCTTCACATCATCATGGCTTGTACTTCCCCTTGAACCGGCCATATTCTTGAATTGGTTGTCATCCTCCAGGCTTCCCTCCAGGTTCTCATTGCTATTTCCACTCTTGCTTTGATCCCGGGGCAGGTATTCAACTATTTTCTTGTCAGTCAAAGAAGCTCATTAGTGATAAGAGCTCCGCGGCACTAAGCCATGTTTGTCATATATAATCAAATGATATTAACCAAGTACTGATGATTGAATTTTTCGCCTCCCAGTCTCAACAGAGGCGTCCTTATTCATGATCAAGAAGACTCAACTTTATGTCATCATCCTCTTGAAACTTTTCAAGGTGCCGCTTCACCGAAAAACGTGGCGCCCTTTGATTGATATAGGCGGCTGCTTATACAATAGCAAGTGGTATAAGATCAAGTTCTATCACAAGCTCTCTAATGTCTCCGCTATCTACTACAGGTCCCAGTTTCGTCCTCAAGAGTTTCAGCGCTTGCGAATCATCCCTCGGCTCGACATTGATAATATTCTGGTCTTCTGTGTTCTTCCCAGCATGCCTTGGTCCCTCGTTGTCATGATAATAGAAACTGTGTGGAGTCGGAGGGAGATATTCCATGAGAGGCTTTCTGCTGATCTGGCTTTCCAGCTGATCTTGACCTGTGTGTGGAGCTTCATGGAGGAAACTGCCATCATTCAAATTATCAAATACAATGATCTGTTTCCTTTTTTCCTCATCCTGTAACCAGTCATAAAAGGGTTCGAAGATGTTTATCTTGGGGCTCTTTCGATTCCGGATTTTGGCGCGATCGGCGATTTCCCGATAGCTCTGCTTGAAACAGGCTGTGTTGCTGGTATGGATCCAGAAGACCCATGTCTCAGGAGGTGATTGATCTCTGACCCGGTAACAGTATTGAATGAAGAGTTGTGACTTTCTTTTGACCTGTTAGCAGTGGACAAGCTGTCAGAGAGATAACAACCCACTCAACACTACTCAAACCAACCAGTGCTATTATTGATGCTGGTCGGGAGCACTTCTCCTGCATCTGATCGAGCACTGTCCCGCGATCGATAAACCCTGGGTCGCGGCGAAATGGGACGGTGGATAAGGGGCTTGGTGGGGTTTTGGGCTGCCCTAGGAACGGGGCAACCATCGGTCAGCATTGGCAAGCCTGGGCCGCAGTCACAGCACTTGCTTACCTGGAGGAAGGAAATAATTGGCAGCCGCTGGTCTATTGTTGATCCCAACTGGAAGCCCGGCGTTTGCATCGAGCGAAGGATATTACAGAAGTCATGGCAACACTGCTATTCTTTCTAATTCTGCTGTTAGGGCTCAACATAGAAGTAGAGTCAATTTTGAAAATGTTCCCATTGAGCGGGGTTAAAACTTGACGTCCTATGAGTCTGCAATTGATTGGCGTTTCTTCCCTGCCTCATGCGCCCATGGCCCTGCAAAATCTTCATTTCAATCACCAATCTTCCACTGCTCTGCATCAGGCTGAGTAGCTTTTACATACCAATTTGGAATGCTTTCGATCCTTCAATCATCACAAACTAAAATGGCGGATCCTCTAACTTTTACAGCAAGCATCTCTGCTGTCCTGTCACTGTTCCTGCCTTACATGCCATCCGGCTTCTTCTGGATGACCCGCAAAGCATCAAGGAAGTTGCTGGATGAGCTACGAGTGAAAGTCCAGGAGGACGCCCTTGTGAAAGGCGTAGCGGAGAAGCAGAGCCGTTCAACCCATGGGGTATTTATTTGGCAATCAAAATTCTGGCTTCCGGATTGGTGTCAGTAACGGGCCGGCCCCATCAGTGGGATTAGCTTTGGAGCAAAATGAGCCCTGGCCCTAATCCGCACGGTGGTCCAGGGCAAGGCATCAGAGTGTAAACATCCGGCCAGACTGAAGTATCTTCCTCAATGGTGATCCGTTCTCCTCTTTCAGCAAGCATCCGCTGAGTCACGCACGGATGAAGCACTTCTTTTATCCGAGTTTGTTCATGTGCCTGAGTTTTTTACCCACACGAAACAGGCCCTCCCATGTAATGAGCTACTTCTCCACAGAATGCCAGCCAATATCAGTATTATCAAACCGCCGGGTAAAGTCCCGCTGGGAACGCCCGTTTACTGATACCACCATGGCTGTGTCGTCCAATTCAACCCGCCGCTTGCGCGGGAATTTCTAGCAGAAAAGCTTTTCCAACTTGAGCTGCAGAAATAGCCGCAAATAAGAGCATCACTGTTTGCCTGGTTTGCATAAAATGCTCGAGCCACTCCTCTAACCTGACGCCTCATCTTATCCACACCCACCTCGACTTCAACGGAGTGGAGTGGTCTACCCTACCACTGCAAAACTTCGGGGGAGAATAGTACGAACTAAACAATGTACTATCCATGGGCGGGGAATCTACGCACAGTATGCAAAACGTGCTATGTAAAACATAATTATAATTTGCGGTAGAATGAAATTAGCAAGCTGGCTTGTGGAAAAACACCCCCGATTTATTATCAAGCCGCGTATCATACTGTCTGGTTCCCGATATGTTATTTATGTTGGCGGAAGGTGTACTCCGTATGCATGTATACTGTTCGGGGCGAACCAAATGAGTTCAGCGAGCAATATCGGCTGCGCAGTCGCATCGACCTTCATATTTCCATCTAACGACGGTCCTTGGAGGCATCCTGCTTCCAAAGATGATAATTGGATGGTCCAGAGGCAGGTTTTGTAGTTATGTATCTTAGCTTACATACCTAGGTAGGTTGTTCTCGGGGAAAGTTTACCGCCTCAGCCGCGCGGAAATTGGAGTGAGGTGGGGGGGTGGCTTTCAAGCCTTTCCAACATTGTATGTATGTCATTGTCAACGGATAAAAGAGCCGTCATAGATTTCTTTGACAGCCAGGGGGTTAAGTCTATTTGTTCCCGGCCCGGGAAGGTTTGTGCACTCGGGTTGGTCTGGCATGTTTTCTTCTGTAGTGCTCTTAAAGATTGCTTTTCGCTCGTCTTGGAACCATTTTTGAACGATGTTACAGGGTAGTTAGTAGTGCGGAAGAGAAATCAATGTATCATTTATAGATGATCCAGCACCTCGGTTCAGGAACTAAGGGGCAGATGTAATAACCAACCACCTTACCTACTTAGGTTCTGTAGCTAGGCAAGTTTGTCGAGAAGACCCATGATGGATAATATGGGCCTAGAGAAGTTGTACATGTACATGTACATTACAACTTCTCATGTTGCGTGATATTGTGAATTTGTGATAGTTACCCGTCCCAAGGCTCCTCATCGCCTCGCTTCGACACGGATTCAGAACGGAGAAGTCTGTACAGAAACATACTTAGTGAATACCAGTACCAAGATATTTCCTTGAAGAGCCACGTCTGGAATAAAGACTTATCCGAATTGGAAAATATGATCTATCATATTTCTTGCTCGTCGCTCGAGATTGATTGGTTCACCATTTGACCGGGCACACAAGCGCTCGGAGAGAATATCCATGAGCTCTAATTTGTGCTTCCTTGGATAACACCTGTCACGTCATGTCACGTCTTCGTATTTATAGCTTTCTGTCAATACGTGGTAATTTTATTCGGCGCTGTGTTACAATATACATAGTACCTCCTAGCCAAGCCATGTCTCCGTGGTTGCGGAGGCTTCCGTTTTTATCTTCTTTTGCTGCTAGTCTGGAAGGCTGGGACATCGCTATCGCATCATGGTGGCGAATGTGTTGCGCATTGGGTTTTCCAACGATGGCTGCCACCAGCGCCTTGGATGGTGAAAGCCTGGACCCTTGCAGGCGGGATTTTATTGTATTTTCAGTAGCACGATCGGTTGCCTTGAAAGTCTTTACGTACACCCTCAAGCTTGGGTTCAAAAGGCCCAAAGGGAGTTGTATTGGCTGGGTGTCCGCCTTTCAGACTGTGTTGGTTTGGGGCGCCACGTTAATGAGCACAATTTCGCCCATAATTTACCAGTTAGAAAGCCAGGGTTGAGTTTTGACTGCTGTAACTATACAGCGGTGTCCGAGAAGGGCAAACTTTGGCACGTTGAACGGCTAGTCATTGGTGTGTTCAATTTTGTCGCATGTCCATTGGACCTTCACATGCCAAAATATATAGGGAGGAAACTAGCATCATGAATCCCAGCGTCGTGTGTGCTTTCGCGTGCCGGAGCCTTTTTTTTTTTTTTGTATCCAAAATTATATCAAGCAGGCTCAGCAACCCTGCGTAGGTGCCGCCTGGACAAGGCTACTACTGGGAAGGGTCATCCACACAATACGAACATCGACTGGGGTGTTGACTCTTTAGGGATTTCGGTGATGGTCTGCCGCGATCGCCCCGGTAGAAGGAGGGGGAGACTTCAAGTTTGCCCAAGACCAGATTTCGCCAAGGCTAACCTGCAGGCTGCAAGCAGAGAGGAAAGGGTCCAGCTAACCGAGAATCCCTTGGTGTAGATGTCCTTGGAAGGTTGCTATTCGTTGGATAGCCATGAAATCCAAATCTTGGCGCCGGGAAGCCCGGTTTTCTTGTCTCGGTTAGTGCGATCGTTACACTGCGCTGCGCCTCCTCTTTGCTGGAAATAGATCATCCGCCACGGTGCAAGCTGACGAGTGAAATGGGAAGAACTGGGAAGGCAGGCTGCCATAGGATAGAATATTCGATGTCACGCCTCTAACGGGAAGATACAATTCCATAACAGACAGGAAGAAGAATGTCGATCTCTCTTTGGAATATCTTATCCCATGCTGTTGGCTAGGATAACCACGGGGGAGCGGTGTTATTTACTTACTTCCGATACATATGGAACTAATAGTCCACATGGATGTTAATATATTTCATCAAATCAGATCTAGTGGAATTTTGATGCCAGAAACAACGCTATCCCTCATGAGGACATGCCAAGATATCCCCGCGCAAAGACTGGCTTATGTCATCCGTCAACCGCACCGTTGCTCGGCAACCGCAGCTTGGCGTTTTTTGTTGACAACATGGCGGCATCATGCAACAGCCCCGCCGCCGTTGAAATGACAGATATCGCAATTCTTCAGTCTCACAAGCGCCGGAGGCGATTGGAGAATGCAACTGAGTCTCCACCTTGCCCTTGATTTTCCTCTTCTGAACTGACCATTCCAAGTGAAAGAGGGGTTCATCTTTTCGCTCAACCTCAAAGCCGCTGCTAACTAGAGTGTATGAGCCGACGTTTTATATATGTTGAACATGCGATAGTACCATGGTTATCGAGAGAGTTGAGGGATTTATACCTGTAGAGTTTGACCTCTTCAAAGTTCTCAGATGCATGAGCCTGACCAACTTACTCGATCCAATGTGTCTGTGTTGGATATCGCAAACGTCTCCATAGGCTGCCAAGTCACCTCCTGCAACCGATTGGGAGTGGGGAATGAATATGCTGAAAACATCTTTGTTCGGCCTCGCTGGCAATGTGCTCGCTCTTTTGGCCGGAGAAGTAGTCGCCAAACTACCCTACAACCCTTCATATATCAGCAACCCGATTTCAAGAAACCAGACGGAGGTATATATCCTTTCTCCAAAAAGCTCGGCGACGTCGAAGAATGAGTTCAAGCTTCAGTCTCTGGACATTTCAACTCCTTTCGATATCTCTCAGATTTCAATATCGGAAGATTTGGGCGACGTGCCTTTTGCTACGGATGATAGCGCAAAATCCTTTATCCCCACTACCGACTCGCAAGGTATCCTAACAGTTTATACTGGGGACTGTCACGAAAATACCTCTACGGTTTGGCGATTATTTCCCACCGATGGGGAGTCTACCGGACCTTCCAAATGGAAGGAGACACCAGTTCACTCCGAAGACGGCCAACAAGTCCCCGGAGCCGCATACTTATCGTCAGCAGTTTCCTATCCTTCAGTAGCGGAATCGTCACAACCAGGTCTCTTTGTTTTTGGAGGAATGTGTCCCTGGGTGGGCAAGCAAGGTGAAGATTGGGTCTCTGCTGCCAACTATTCCCAAATTATGATGTCTCTCACTGCAGAAATGTCATCATCGGGCCCCTCTTATCAAGCTGAAATCGTTACGCCGGAATCCTCTCCAGTTGCTGAGGCAGGGTTTGCTATGACACCTCTCGTGCCAGCTTATTCAAATACCTCCAGTGTTAAACCGATTCAATATCAAAGTTTCGTTCTGACTGGGGGGCATACTCAACAAGCGTTTATCAATATGTCCCGGATTGCGCTATTTTCCCTCCCAGATGCTTCGTGGAGTTATATTTTAGTCAACGAGGATGGCGCAACTTCATCTATACCAGGCTTGGGGGATATCGACGGGGTGGAGCCGAGGTCTGGCCATACAGCGTTATTGACACCGGACGGTAGCAAAATTATTGTCTTCGGGGGTTGGGTCGGTGATATTAGCCGCCCAGCCCAGCCTCAACTTGCTATTCTTGAGGTGGGAGCGGCATATGGAGGAGCTGGAGACTGGAAATGGACTATACCTCATCAGAACCTGCATGGCCCAAAGACTGGTACCGGAATTTTTGGTCATGGCGCAGCAATGCTTCCTGGTGGTATAATGCTTGTAGCTGGAGGGTATTCTATTCCTCAGTCAGATCTGAAACGATCAGCCACTGGCCTTGCTACCAATACCGAATGGTATCTCTTAAACACTTCTTCAGAGACTTGGATTACTTCTTACACTCCGATAAACAACATCGAAGCTAGCGGCCAAGTCAGCCACGGACCACTTTCATCAACCTCACAAAAAGCTGGTCTTGGAGTTGGAGTCGGAATTGGGTTTGTAGTTATCGCTGTGATAGCATTTTTTGTCTACCGCCATTGCTCTCGTCGTTCCCGGGAACATCGGAGAGTACGAGAGCAGGCTCTCCGGAGACTTGCTCTAGGGGCAGAACGTCCACACTTTGACCTAGCGGGAAACATTCACGAGCCGATGACCGACATCACTGCTGAAAAATTGGCGCTTCATCCCAATGCGTACTCATGGATCGGCAACGAAAGATACCCTAGGAACAATGGCTCTCAAGATACTGGTACCTTGTCTGCCGAGAAAACAGGGCTTCTGGTGGAAATACCGAGCCCCACAAGAGGGCTTCGACGGAGTATGCATTCCAGAGGATATCAGTCTGCTTCATACTTGGAGGATTCGAGAAGAAACGTAGGATTTAGTGCTATACATCCGATCGACGAGGGAGACGAATGTGAAGAAGCCATCGGCAACGATGCAATGATGGTTGGGAAAGGGGAAACTCAGCGACAGAGCCGGAGCTCTGTCATCTCCAATCCTTTTAGTGATTCAGCGCGCTATAGCGATTCTCATAATACCAGGTCTGCTCAGCACCGCATATCAGCGTTGAATGAAAAATCAGCCGCGATCGAATGGGCGGATGATTTCGAGGCAGGCGGTACTGCTACCAGAGCCCTCTCACCAGATAAAAGCGATCGTACGCTATCTGACTTATCTGAAGGTTCCAGCTCTTTCATGTCGGTCTCCTCGCAACCCACAAATCCTCTGTCTTTGAACAGGAATCTAGCTCGAATGTTCAGTTTTCGCTCTCAAGCGAGCGGACCTGTAGCTCCGGGTGGTTCTGCCGATTACGAGCCTGTCCGTAGTTCGTCCCCCGAAGGACAGGCCCACGGCCAATTTCATGCACTATCTACCAATGTTGGCAGCAGCTACGATTCATACAACGAGTTAAGGGCTGAGACAGCGCGATCCTCAGACAGAACTGTTGTACCCCAAGGCTCTCCGCGTCATACTACTTTCGGCCAACTACAAGAAGAAAGCGGATTGCTGCTTGGCATTACGCCATTGGACTCATCAAAGAGCGGGCTAAACATCACGAAGAGCAAAGCCCGCGGGTGGATTGGTAATGTTCGTCGTACTCTCGGCTCTGTCAAGAAAGCTGAGAACATCGCACAGGCATATTCCGTGAGCCCGGAAAACATGTCGTCAAGCTCTCAACAGATACAACAGCAGCAGCAGCAGCAACGAAGCACAAGTACGAGTCCCACAAAAAGCTTCTATAGTCTTCAGGAGGAAAGAGACTCAACAACGGCCTCCGAGTCAAATAACATTCCCAGGCGAGCAATGAGCTCAAGCTCATCTATGCTGGGGCGCAAGCAAGGTGCGAAGGACTGGGGTGCAAAGAGATCCTCTGCCGACAGCGCACAGATACGAATGCTGCAAGCAGCCCGCGTTGCTGATGCTGGTCATAGCAATGGAGCAGCGTCATCGGAGGGTGGTACGGGTGGGAGTTTAAGTAGCGACTCACCCCATTTCTTCGACTATGATGACGATGAGGAGTGGGATGTGGAAGCCGCCGCAGAAGGCCGGGTAGTACAAATCACCTATACAGTGCCCAAGGAAAGACTTCGAGTTGTCAACCCTGGCCCGAGCAGTGGAGACGATGTGGACGATGATTCTATTACGTCGCCTGAAAGTACTGAGCCAAAAAAAGGGAGTTCCGGCGATGGTGGTAGGGAAGGGGTCCAGAATCAACCAGGGCCATCGAATTCTGGTCAGTGATCTTGATTTTGGTTGATTTCGAGGGGGTCTTTGAGGGGAGGGTGATTGTTCCTGTACTTTCGGTTTCTCGAGTTATTTTTTCGCTATCGGTGGAACGAATTTTTGTATTTTTTTTCAACTTGGTCCGTGACGAGGTATTACGAAAGTCATTTCCTGACGTATATGGTGGGTGGAATGATGTTTATGATACCATTGAGCGGGCATATGGCCTTGTGGCGTGATTTGGATTTCTGTTTCATTTAGTCTACAGAAACGAGTCTTGTTTTCTCATCATACGTTCGCTTCTTGCCATGTATAGTTAAGCCTGACATTTATGATTGTCCTTTTTCATTCTATAGTACTCTATATAGTCTCTCTGCAAAGGTGCTTCAATAATACAAATGTACCAACATACTGTTATAAATTTCTCCACCCTTTTCAAACCGTTGTAATATACATCACATCCACACTTCTGAAGATGTAACCAAATACTCAGAATTCCGCGCGCATGCACTGACAGCTTGCTGGCCAACAAAACGGTGTTACCAAGCCTACATACACGCATGTACGAAGTAAATGTACATGTACATGCAATTGTATCAGTGTCCAAGCTTGCTCGCAAGCCAGTTGGACACGTTCTGAATAACTTCCTGAGAATCAAACGCGCCGGAGCCGGCGAGGAGACTCGCCCAATCGGAAATCTCATGCAGGTTCCTATTCGCGAGAACTTGGTGGATCTTCTCGGATTGGATGTCGGCCTGTTTGGTATTTGCTGAGGTGGATATTTGGCTTGAGATTATCGCACCTGATTTCACTCGCAGGAAGACACGTGTCTGTGCAGGTGTGGGGGTATGCATGTTAGTAAGGAGGCTGTGGCTTTTTTCTTTTTGTTTTGTCTTGTTTACAAGGAGGTGATAAGGCGGTCATGGGTAAGTTTGGGGTTTTGGCTGGTACTCACTGAGGAAGGGAGGTTGGATGGAAGGGGAGGTCTAGGTCTGGGGTCATCTTCGGTGGGATGGGTTGAAAAGGTAAATTGCGGAGACTGGCAGTATTTCCATTCCAAAGACTAAACAGAGAAGTTAATTTGGGGTGACCAATTCATTTTGCGGAAGAGTCGTGGGTTTACAGACATGAAGTTCCTGGATGCCTTTAACTATTTCGGGCTCGTCGAGTGCATTGATGTCAGCAAGTCCACCGACGGCCCAGTTATGCCCCATGTGCACCTCTGGATCAAATGCGTGAGCGCGCTGGGCCTTTAGAACAGCATCTGGATGCATGCCGTACAATTGGGCAAATTCTTCCAAAATGTTGAAAATCACCCGGTCCATTAGAAACGCCGAATCGACCGCACTGGAAACGTTTCCTACTGGAGACCTAACGCTTTCGACACCTTTAGCCTTTAGGTAAGGTCGAGCTGGCGATCGTAGAAACAAGCTTATATTTCCAAGGTTGGGGGAGTCAATCAAGCAAGTGCCGTGATGTAGAGCTCGAAACCGGGTCAATTTGTAGGCGGAACCCGAGATTTTGAGGGCGTGAGGCGTATTCTCGATTCGAGGGCTTGGGGCATCTTCCGTTCCAACTTTGATAACTTCCCTAGACGGCTCTTTCGAATCCTGCCTCAGAACAATATCATGCCGTTCATTGACCGCTGTATTGACTGCGCCAACGCGCTGGAGGGCCCTGACCACCATCTCGGCGTGCTTGTCTCGATGGAATACGGGCTTAGGGCAGATGACGCAGTAATTCAGATTGCCTTTGTCATGGAATACAGCGCCACCTCCGGATCTCCGCCGCACAAACGGTGCATTGTTGATGGATCCACCAGCAATGCTCCGCGTCTCACGATCCAGTGCTTGAAGATTGATTTCAAGCCATGGGTTCTGATTCCGGCCAATGACGACGCAAGGCCGATTTATGTACAGGAATAGTATATTCGAGTCTTGAGGAGTGTGTTCCAGTAGAAAATTCTCAATTGAGAGGTTCACGAAAGGGTCATTGGAGAGAGATCGGTAGATTTGATGTTGACTGGATTCCCTGCTCGCTGCTTCTGTGAGACTCGAGGAGTATTTTCGGCTGATGGAAAAGGCCCTTCGTCGGAATCTATATAGCCATGGCAGATTCGCAGATGACGTCCATTGCAGAGGGCGCAATGGAAGCATTGATGGGCGGCAGGCTCATAATAGTAAGGGAGTTGTTTCTTGGATACAAAATCCCTTGCTGCGGTTCTGCTTTCCGTGGTTGATAGTAGGCATCTGGGACTAGACCGGAATAGGAAATGTGGCCTTACTCTGGGCTGAGTCATCCATATAACTTATGTAGGATAGTTGAAGGTTGTGTATACAGAAAACTTGACCTCGCTAAGTGCGCCACTTGACCTCGTTATGTAAGCTGACCTCGCAAATGTGGCCCGTGCCACTACCTGACCTCACTCAATACATCTTTTCTTGTAATTTGAAACCACTCAATTATTTATCATCAATTCTACAATCAATTCAAAATCAATTTAAAATCAATTTAAAATCAATTTAAAATCAATTTAAAATCAATTTAATACTGAAATTATTCTTGAATTTAATAATAAAGTAAGTATTTATATAATTTACACTAAATTGATTATTAATTGATTTTCAATCAATTGTTAATTACTTAAATATATAGATTGAATTTATTTTTATTACTATAATTAATTAATAATCAATTTAAAATCAATTCAAAATCAATTTAAAATCAATTTAATACTGAAATTATTCTTGAATTTAATAATAAAGTAAGTATTTATATAATTTACACTGAATTGATTATTAATTGATTTTCAATCAATTGTTAATTACTTAAATATATAGATTGAATTTATTTTTATTACTATAATTAATTAATAATCAATTTAAAATCAATTTAAAATCAATTATTAAATATTTTTATCTTAATATATTTTAAAATTCTGTAAAATATCTCTTTATATTCTATATGAATTTATCTATTTATTTAATTGATTATGAATCAGTTATGCATGCTTTTTGATTGATTAATAAGCTGAATGAATGAATAAATAAGTGAATTAAAAGATTGAAAGTCAATTATCAACTGATTATTACTATATTATGCGAGGTTGAGGTCATGATTATATAACAAGGTCAAGTGACACACTTAGCAAGGTCAAGTTTTCTGCTTTCTGTTAAAGATTGTATTGATAGATCTATCTACAGAAACATAATATAGTGATGAGTCACGTGATCTAGTGAGATCACTAACTGTAATAGCTGTAAGAGTTAACACTCTCTCTCAAGATAACAAGAATCATATACAAAAAAACACTCAAATCATCAAGATAGTCTGTCAAAACTAAATACAAATGTAAAATTAAACATTTTCAACTTTTATACCTGTAAGACCTAGCAAAATCATGAATTATGTAAATATCACAGTGTTTAGAGATTTAGTGAGTTCATCTGCTATTATCTGAGTGATGAAAATATATTCTAAATCAATGATTCTCTGATTCAACTGTCAATGTGAAAAATGAAAATGTGTATCAATGTGCTTACTTCAGACTGTAATAACTGTTATCTTTGTAAGATCTATAATATTCTTATTATCAGTGTAACATGGCGGAACCGAAGCGGTGGCTAGTTGGCGGTGTCATGTAGAAGTATTTGTTTTGAGAAGCTGTATAAATGAGCTTGACTATCTTGCTTAAATAGTGAGCTCATAGGCTACAGAGTTATTGTGAGAATATCACAGATATGATACTTAGTATACTAAGAAGATTGTATGAGGCATGCAGTAACTCTTATATATATTTCAGTAGAAGTAAAAGATGAATCACTGACTTCTTTAATAAAGAGTCAGTATCTAGCTATTCTATATAGATAATGAATGAATACTCTTCTCTCATTTCACAAGTGAGAATAGCTGAAGTGATATCTCAGCAGTATTTTATTGTCAAGAAAGAGTAATCTGCTGATCTTGTATAAAAGTAAGGTTCTTATATTCATTAATTGAATCTTTCTATGATACATTCAAATAATGTCATAGAGTAATTGAAAACTGATTCAGATGAGATGAAATTATTCACATGAAAGTAATAAGCTGTGTGAAACTGTAACAGAGTCTTAGCACAGCTGAGAGTGTGATAATACTCTTCTCTTTAAGAGTATAGTCTCTATACTCTTAAGATTATCAGATTAGAAATTATCTTTGTTGTATAGTAATAGTTATTAACTGATTAACAGTGTATATATCACATGTGATATAAAGAAATAGATGAGTTCTTCTGCTGACTGTATAGATCTTTCTTTTCTCATCTTCATTCAAATCAAATATGTGATAAGTGAGTTTCTTATATATCAATTTAAAATGTAAAAAATGTAGTTAATAAGTGACTTACAGATCTTTCAACATATTTCATTCTATATATGAAATTCTCTGTAAAAGTAGTGTGTTTTAGAGACAAAGCTAACAGTAGTAGTAGGATTTTTTTTGAAAAGATCTCTCTCTTTCATGATATATTTTTCTCTCCCTCTCTTCATCTGTAATAGTGAGTGCATGAGAGTATCATTCTTGAAGAACAGTAGAGAGCTTATTCTGACATTTTCTAGTGAGTAAATGTCTTCATGATGTGATGATGATCTTCATGACTGTCAAGAAAGTCAGGTTGAAGGTGGCAGTGTCAATGAGCCGTGGAAGCACTGCTCTCATTGTCACATCTTCTTCTGCTTCTCTTGCAGCTGTGGCAGAAGTTGCCATGCTCTGCAGTGAGATGTCATTTCTTCTGCCAGCTGATGTGTCTGTGTCCGGTCTGTTCTCTGCCCCTCTCACTGTCATTGTGACATCACTCTCTTCAATCAACACAGTGGTGTATGACCCTGTGTGATCATTCAGAGAGAATCTCAGAGAGAGCTTGATTTCAGAGACAGCAGCTTCAAGAAGCTCAATCTGTAGTTTCTCTTCTGTGACATGCCTGAGCCCTGCTCAGAATACTGCTGAGTTGAGTCTGCAGAGTCTCATGATTTCTTCATCTTCTCTCTGTGAGAAGGCTCTGATACAGTCTCTAACTAGCATCATCATCTGTCTACACTGCACTAAGCAGCTGAAGAAGAAGAGGATTTTATACATCTATCTCTTCTCTCACTTTCATTGTTTCTATTATATCTGTAATAATGACTTCTGTCTCTCTGTAAGTATTATCTCACAGAAAGACATTATATCAGCTCTGATAAGAAGTCTAGATACTCAAGTAGTACAGAGTAAGAGTCTCAGAGCTTCAAGTATTGATAGATTTCATTAAGACTGAGAAGATCTCTCTTACTCATCTGTAAAAGAAGATGAAAGTATAAGTCTCTGAGATGAAAAAACATCTCAGAATGACTGATCTTAAGAAGAGATTAATTAATACTGCTGTTAAAAGCATTGCAGAGATTAATCACTGATTGAAGAGAATCTCACTTCAGTTAAAGCAGATAACTGAGATGCTTTATAAGTTGATAAGTTAATACTTTCAGTATCTCTTATACTCTTCTGTAGCATGCTTCTCTACAGCACTGCAGTACTAACTTCTCAGTAGATAAAGATACTGATACTGAAGACTTCAACAGTGAAGAATAAATTTGATGAAGATGTAATTATTAATAAGTAGATTCTGAAATTCTTTCTTTTTACTTTTTCAGTGAGCTGCAGTCTCACTAGAATAGCAGCAGTCTGCAGATCAATTAATATTAATCTTTTTTATTAATTTCAAATATTTCTTCTCTCTAATCACTTCAGGAATTTTACACTTGTGTAGTCTTATTAAACTTCTAAAAACTCTTTAGAAGAAAATAGAAGAAGAGTGCTACAGAGTCTATAAAACATCAGCTCATTACTATGAGATTATCTTTAAAAAACTCTTTGAAAAAAATGAGAAGTCTTAAGTGATATTTCTTGCTCAATATCTCTGATATATAATGAGATAATCTCTACTAGCTATCTCATAGATTACAATCTCTTTCTCAGTATTTTTCAAATGCTTAAGTGATTCTCACAAATTCTCTGATAATGAATAATCTTCTTATTTAATGAGATATTGAAGCTTGCTATAATATGTTTATTTATTCAATATTTTCTTCACAAGATATTCAGTATTACTCTTAATCTTGATATCATCTGACTAAGATGACTCTGCTCTGAGACATTGCTTATAGAGTTTCAAATAAGAAATGTGAAAAACAGAATGAATTGATTTCAATTCTGTGAGTAATTTTAACTTATATATCTGCTTACTTATCACTCTTATTATCAGGAAAGATTCTAGTCACTGCTCACTGAGCTTCTTATATAATCTCATTGTCTTGATATTCTTTGCTGAAAGTAGTACTTAATTCTCTATCAAGAACTTCATTGAAAGATGTTTTTAATTATAGTATTTCATCTACTGCTTCTGAGCACAGTAAATGCTTTTTATCATCTTCTTATGAATTTTATTCAAAAGTTTCAATCTCACTTTTACTTCTGATACTGAGAAATACTTCATTCTCTGTATCTGTTCAACATTCTGACTGTCTATCTCTCTCTTTGAAATGTCATCTGTGACATCACTGAGTAATGAAGAATTATATTTATAATAAGTATAGAAAGAAGATATCTTTAAGATTGCATTCTTTGTATTGTTATATATGAATTCAGCAGTTAGAAGATGTTTGAGTCAATCATTCTGATGATATAAATAGAATGCTTGAAGATGCTATTCTAGTGTTTGATTCTGATGTTCAGTCTGACTATCAGTCTGTGAATGAAATGCAGTACTGAGAAGACATCTTATTATAAGATAATAGTAAAAAGCTGATCAGTATTTGCTGATGAAGAGAGATTCTTGATCTGTTATTAACAATTTCAGAGCACTGTGATTACAAATAATAGTATTTAAAAACAGATCAGTCAATTCAGAGGCTTTAATCTTTTTATGAGTAGAAATATATCTAGTCATCTTCATGAAGTGATCAATAATGATTAAAATTAAGTCATATTCTTTGACTCTTGTCAACTTCAGCAGGTCAACTATGAAATTCATTAATAGATTCTATCATGAGCTCTTTGAAATAGGCAGTGATATTAACTCATTATATTACTTATACTGCAGAATCTTTATTCTTTAACAGATATTATAAGTCTTAATATACTCTTTAACATCTGCTCAGAGCTTGTCTCAAGTATATTTACATTTTAGAAGCTTCTCAGTCTTCTCTAATCTGAAGTGCTCTGCATGAGAATTATTATAATGAATTCTCAATAACTTCTGATACATCACTCTACTACAAGAAATGAAGACTGAATTATTCAGCAGTAGAAGTTCATATTCTTCTAGTTATCAGTAACTTGATTTCTTAGCAGCACTGTCTCACTCAGAGTCTGTCTCTTTCAAGTTCAAACTGAATTCTTTCTTCTTTAACTTTTAAATTCAAGCTGTAGTAGAGACATCTCTCTTCTGTAACTTATTAATGAATTTTAAAAGTAGTTGAGTTAGAAGATTGTAGACTGTTTCATTCTTTGTCAATTCAATGATTATAAGATATGATATGAGAAGCTCATAATCTTCAGTGTCAGTTCTTCACAGAGACTCAGATTCTCTTTCATCTTCTATACTAAGTCACACAGCTGCCTCTTCAGTGCTGTTTCTGAGCTTTAGAGAATCTCAACTCTCTGCAGCCAGCTTCTTCTGCAGTGATAACAGAGATTCTTTTATAGAATTCTTCTCTGTATTAACAATATTATAATCAGGCTGTCTAGACAGTGTGTCAGCAGAATTAAACTGATCTGATCAGTATTAGATATAGAAATCATACTCTGAAAGCAGCTCTGCTCACCTGGCTTGACATTCTATTAAGCTCTTTGTTATCAAGAAGTAACACAGATTTGCATGATCAGTGAGAACTTACACTGAGTACTTACTATTCTGAAGATAATGTCATCAGATCTTAAAGAATTCAATAATTACTAACATCTTCTGATCATGAGTATTATACCTTCTCTGCATGAGTAATAACTTCTTGAAGAAGAAGATCACTGATCTTTATTCACAGTGTCTTATAAGCTCTGTAAAAAAGTCTTCTTTCATAGATAATTCATTGTCTGTTTTCTCAGAGATGATTATTCTCTGATTCTTTCAATGTTGAAAGGTCTTCAGTGTCAACTGTGAAAAGATTTCACAGATCTTATTCTCAGATGCATCAGTCTCACACTGACTGAGTAAGTCAGAGTTAAAATGATTCAGTATCATGACATCTGTAAAAGCTTGTTTCAATTTTATAAACATCTGTATAATGTCTTGAGTGAGAGTAAACAGTTCTATTTTCCTGTCTTTCATACTTCTCTTCAACAGATCTGTAAGAGGGGCAGTAATCTGTGAATATGTATAGATAAATCATCTGTAGAAATTTGCAAATTCTAGAAACATCTGTATCTCACAGTACATCCGCGGTGCTGGTCAGTTCTCAATGACAGAGATCTGACTTCTGTTCATTGAAATGCTATTCATCTCAACAATATAATCTAAGAAATCAATCTCCTGTATATAGAATGAGCATTTTTCAGTGTTTGTATAGAGTTGATACTGTCTCAAGTAACTCAACACTTCTTGAACATGAGTATCATGTTCTTTCTCTGATTTCAAGAAGATTAAAATGTTATTCAGGTATACTATGCAGAAGATATTGACAAGGCCTCACAGCATCTTATTTATATAGGTCTGAAAGATGGCTGAAGTGTTACAAAGATTAAAAGATAAAACAAGATATTCAAAATTGCTGTACTTGATATAAAAAGCTGTTTTTCAAACATTGTCTTCATTAACTCTGATTCTATGATAGGCATTCTGTATATCAATCTTTGAGAACATCTTTGCTTCAGATAATCAATCAATCATCTCATTAATTAACAGTAATGAATAGTAATTCTTAATCATCATCTTATTGAGACTTCTGTAGTCTATGTATAGATATAGTCTATCATTCTTCTTGAGTATAAAGAGTATAGACATCTCTGCTGAACTCTTTAATGAATATATTCAGTTCTTTGATTGCACTTCTTCAAGATATTTATGCAGAATATTCAACTTCTTTACAGACAAGTTGTAAAGAGGTCTGTACAGTGTCATTACACTGTCTTCAAGATGAATCTTATATTATATCTTGATATCAGAAAACTTCACTGCTTTTCTTTCTGAAAAGACATTCTTAAAATCTGTAAAGAGACATTGTGTACATCTGTCTTTAATAACAGATACTGTCACTAATCTTGTAACAAGGGTGATGACTTCTTCATCTGTTCTCAAGTCTCAATCACCTGCTACACAGTATATTAACTCAATCTTTTTCTCAAGATTCTTCTGATGAAACTCTTCAGATTTCTCTATCACTATCTCTTCATTAGTGAGACAGTACTGTCATGTCTGAGTGACTCAGTCAATGAGAGAATTGTTTTCTCTTAATTATGAGAGATTTAGAATAACATTCTCATCTATGATGTTAACTGCATGAAGAAGCAGACTGCTCTTCTTAAAGATTTCTTCTGAGTCTGTGATCACATACTTTGCTTGAATTATGTCAAAACAGTGACATTTCATTTCATCAGTAAATTTCACATGATCTGACAGATCTATCTTCTTTTAACTCTTCATCAAAGAAAAGAAATAGAATATGAAGTTAATATTCACTCTGAAGTCAAGTAGACATCTCACTGATATCTTCTTATTCAGAGTATGTATTATAATCATAATATGAACTCAGAGATGTGAGAATTATTAATTCTTTTCTTTCTCTTCTTTATCTTCTGTGAATACATTTATCAGAAGA